TAGGTGCAAGGCTTTAGCAATCTCTTCAAGCTTAGGTTCTTTTTCTGTACCGTTGAAGGGTAGCTGATCAAGAATAGGGATCTTCAGGAGTCGGGAGAACTCCTCCAATGTAGGTACCAACTGATAGTCCAAGAAGGTGAAACAGTGATGCAGAGGGTCAAAGAATTGGAACAGGACTTTTATCATATCTTCCTCAATGTTGGTGTTGACCAAGATGATGAGGCTTCCATGCCTTTCACTGAATGAAGAGTTCTCGGGAATCCTGGATATAAGCTCCTTAAGCTGAGGAGAGATCCTCACAAGACTGATTGGAATTGTTTTTCTACGAACAGTTTCCATGTCCTACAAAACAAGAACAAAGATGAAAATTCGAACCCCTGAAATGGTTAGTTAATGCATATGATGCTGGATGATGTCATGATGCTATGATTAAACACCACAGATATTTACAAAGACAAACATGTAAGGCACACAAGGCACACAAGACAAGTCCTTAAAGTTTAAGGCCAGCATGGGGTCTGGGTAGTACCCTCTTGAAGTTGGTGGGTTCAACCTGTCCTATCAAAGTAACCGGGTTCTAAGGTTCCCAATATCACGGGATTGCTTTCATTGTTCATCGTTTCGATTTAGCCACTGAACTGGCGACCGAAATATTCCAGGAAAGCAACCCTCAATTGAGTGTAGTATCGAGTATCAACCAACCTCGGACTGCACCAAAGTCAGTTATCTCACTACCCTAAAGAGGCCAAGATGGTTCAATTAAGGTTCCTAAGGTCTGTTGATGCTTCATGACACCACATGGAGGCCCCGTACTCTCCTTGACTGACTCAAGGGTTACCGGTACACACCAAAGTGCCACATCAACGTAGCAGACTGTTTCAACCATGTCGGTATACCCCGCACAGTTCCCTCACAGCCTTGTTGCTACTTTCTAAAAAGGTATCCCCCAGATCCGGGTTAGGATCTATAGAACTCCCAAGACGGTCCCACAATTTTAAAGCAAACAAGGAAAGCAATTGAAAACACCATGATCTTAGTCCTAAGGTACACCTCACTTTAAGTTTATCCCCAGCAGAGTCGCCAGTTCTGTGATCGGTGGATCTGGAACTGACTGTTTTAAAGCTGGTTCGCGAAATGTCGCGGTAAGCAAGAGTCGCCACCGTCTTTTATTTTCTCCAAATGGAAAGGACAAAAGCACAGAAAAATTCCTTAAAGAGATTGCTCTCGGTTCGGGAGGTAGGTTATAGAAAGGGAAGGTATTAGCACCCTTTCTATCCATGGTTATCCATGGGCTCTTAGGTACTTGCTCAATGTGTTTTCAAAAATGTTTGTTTGCTTTTCAATGTGGGTTTCAAAAATATTCTTTGAAAAGTTTCAATTCAACTCGTACGTCAGAGTGTTTGAAAAGTTTGTTTTGAAAGTTTTTTGAAAGTGTTTGGGTGTGAAAAGTATTTTGATTTGTTTTTGAAGAGAGCAAGTACCTACGAGAACCTACCTACCCTAAGGAATTCGTCTGTGTAAATGTCTTTTAAAGTAGTGCCATCCCACCATTGAGAGGTAGGTAGCACCACTGTTGGAGGTGTTCGGGTCAATTCGAGTTTTAGGGACGTGGTGATCACCAGAGCAATGGGAAGACACCTTAGAAGCTACCCTCATGCCGGGTTCCCGGATCATGAGGACTTACTAAGACGTCCTCTACTCGACGATCACCTTTCGAAAGGCAACAGTGAGGCGTACCCTAGGGGTGGTGTGTGCGAATTGTGTGTCATTTTTAGTTTATTGTTTGTCTTGTCATGCATTGGTGATCTAACGATTCGATTTTATTTTTTGGGCATACATTCTTTCATGCATATTTATTAACAGTTATATACTTGCGAGAAAATAAATCTAGACTATTACAACTGGCGCGGGTCCACATCGCCAAAAAACCGAACCCGATTTGACTGAAAGTAAAGAAAACAATAAAATAAAAGTGCGAGAAATAAATCTAAACTTATTACAAGGCTTTGGGGCATATACAGAGGTATTTAAACAATATAAAATAAATGCGCGAAATAAAGAGATTAAACAAAACTAGGGCGTTGGACCCTTTTACAAACAACTAAAATTAATCAAGGAATTTAAAATTAAAATTAAATGAAAAATGGTATTTTTTGTGTTTTTTAGATTTAATGAGAAAAGAGAAAAATTAATTGGAATTAAATTAAATATTAGACCTAATTCTATTATTTTTAAGTTTATTATGAAAATTTTAACTTTTAACCTAATCTAATTCTAAATTAATTTATGCACATTTTTTAATTTATGAAAATAAATAAATAATATTATTATTCTGAAAAAAAAGGGAAAAAATAAAAAAAAGAAAATAAAAGTCATTAAACCTAAATTCTAGTTTTTGGATTTTTATTAAAAAGAATTAAATTTGAAAACCTAATTAAAACTAAATAATTACAAGTATTTATTTAGAAAATAATCATAATGAAATAAATATCATATTTTTTTAATTTTCTGATTTTTGAATGTTTTTATATTTTATAGAAAATAATTAATTAAATAAATAGCAAATAAAAGAAATGAAGAAGAAAAATTAAAGAAAGAATGAAAAATAGTAAGGCAAACCAGGGGGGGGTAGACCCAGATTTGTGAGGTGCAGGCCTGAAAAGCCTGGCCCATTTGCTGGCAATTTGTTGACTTTTCCAATCAGGTGTAGCACGTTGACTAGCGCCCACCATATGCCTTTGTTCTGCACCCTTTGATAAGTCTCCTGGGACGCGTGGCTGATTGATTTTTGAGTGTGCATGGTGAGTATCAATGTCATGCTGCATGGGAACTCAAGTAAAAAAATAATATGAGAAATGTGTGAGACCTGGGGTTTGAACCCAGGTCATGAGAGTCCCTAGCGTACGTCCCTGCCAGCTGAGCCACTTTGAATTCATTTAATATATATTAATCAACAAACATTATAAAAGCAAAAGGCTAGTGCTATTTGAACTGCGCGCGAGATTTGAACTGATCAATCACCAGCTGACACGACTTCTTCTTCCTCGCGTGCCCTGAAACAAAAAACACAACAGCAACGGTTTTGAAGCGTTGTTTTAAACATGCTATGGAAAAATAGCGAATAGCCATATAGGCTACATAAATTGTTCGCGATGGTTGTTTCTTGCTCGTTGGAACATGCTGGTTTTAATGACAATGGTCTTGAGCTTTGATTTTGCCTATTTTTGAAAGCCCTAAATTAAAGAACCTGTAACCCTAACATTCGAAAATGGTAGAATCTCATATGATCAACAAAAATGAAATTAAACATCATGAATAGCTTGGAAACATCACATGGAACAAGAATATCCAATTGAAATGCAATGAAGATGCTTAGAATTAAGAATACGATTTCAAAAAATTTTATGTACAGCTTGAGTTGTAGCTATTGCTTCTGCGTGTTTTGATTGATGTTAGGAATTGGGATGTGTTCAGAAATGCCTCAGGATGCTAATGGAAGAAGAATTAAGGCTTGAAAGATCCTCTAGCACTGATTTCAGATTTGCAATATATGGCTCATTTTTCAAATTGTCCAATGGCTTTTCAGCGCAGCATATGGCATATGGTGGTTAGGGTTTGACTCAGTGATGATCATGGAATGGAATTGGCTTGCTCTTTTGCCTTAATTCATGCTTGTGAAGGAATTAGTCTTAGGGTTTTCACTCTTAGCCATTTTTCCTCCTTTTTAGCCAAAACCTAGACCTAGTGTGCAAATGAACCCTAGCCTGATTTCTTGAGTTGGTTCATGATTCATAGAAATTGTCCAAGTTCATATGACACTATTCCATTGGTTTTTAAATTTTATTTGAATTTTCAAAGAATTAAAATGAATTAAATCATCAAAAATTAAATAAAATAAAAAAATCAATATTTGGTCTTGAAATTAACCATGGGACACGTGTGTGGCATGACAAGGATGAACCAAGTGGAAAAAATGGGGCCCTTTTGTCAAAAATTGGATTTTCAAAGATAGTTGACTTTTGCCATTTCACAAAAATTTCCCAACTTCTACAAGGCATAACTTGCTCAATTTTTAAGCTTTTCACATGTTCTTGGACATTTTGGAAAGGTCTTTGAGTCCTTTAACCAATGCTTTTGGTCCCATGTCATTTTGACTTACCAATCTCAAGTTATGGCCTTTGACTTAAAGTCCCTTTTTGTTGACTTTTGAAAATGACCTGTAATGTTGAAATTGATAACTTTTTGTGAGAGCATTTCTTGGACTTGAAGTATGAAGATGAGTTGTAGGAAATGTCTTTCTATTCAAAATGAGCTTTGGATGGAATTTTTCTGATAATCCATGTGAAAGTTATGCCCTGGTCAATTTCAGTTGACTTTTTCAGCTGTCCAAATATAGCAACTTTTGCATCTTTGATGATTTCTGAGCCAAACTTTGAGAATCATGATCAAGCATTGATCAAATGATGTTTGTGGCTTCAAAATGATATATTGACCAAAAATTTGAACTTTTGACTGCCAAATGACCATTTTGCCCCTACAGTTGACTGTAGTGCAATTTAGGGTTTTGACTGTGCAATCTTGAGCTGAATGTCTTGAAACTTGATATGAGGATGTTTGACCATGTTTGTAAGCATATGAGACTTGACTGAGCCTTTGAAAACTTCCTTTTCTTGATCAGACTCAAAACCCTAATTTTGACTGTATGGGAGACTGTTGCACTGCACAACCCTTGGGGAATTTTGTGACTTGGCTTGGCAATTTCTTGAAGAATATGGGAGGGCAAATTTTGGGGTATAACAGGGACGATTACCCATCTTTTAACAACTTCACTCTTACAAGTCTCACGCTTGGGATTATGGACCATCATGAATATTTTAGCTCAAACTCACACAATATTGATGATCTTTGCCCATCATATTACCTTCACGTGGGAAGCATGAGAGATCTTAAATGAGACTCAACGAAGGGCAAAGTTAACACATCACGAGACTTCCTCATAAATGAGTTACCCACCACAATCCTTGATAGTGCGAGGTTGAACTGATCAAGCATGAGGAAACATTCTTAAGACTCTGCACGTCCTATTAGGTTACATCAACCTACCTCAAAGGTTTGACTTGACCATCACTTTTTTACAAATCTCAATTCTAAATACCTCTCGCTTGGAGTATCGTAGACATAGTCACTACTATTGTGCTCAGAGCAAGTCTGTCATCCACTTCTAAAAAAACCAAATTCTTTACTGGTAACAAAAATGTTTACCAAAATTAATACTCCCTCCGTTCTATAATGAGTTACCCAGTTGACCATTTCACACATATTAAGAAAAATGAATAAGTGAAGAGATAAAATAATATTTTTACCAAAATATCCATTATCTTCATATATTAGGAGTGATGAACGTAGTAATAATTAAATGGTACAATTGAAAAAAAAATTAAATTATAAATTAAAATGAATTATTTATTTTGAGACATTTTTATATTTCAAATGAGTCACTTATTGTGAGACGGAAAAAATAATTAATAATAATTAATTTTAAGACAGTAAAAAAAATAGTTAAATTATATTTAAGACTTAATTAAACTGACAAATAATTGATAATATTAAATTGTATTTTGTGTCTCAGATACAAATTTGTGTGAATTTTTAACTATTATTATTACTCATTCTAAAGATTTTAAAAAATAAAAATAGTTTTTTACATTCCTTTTTATATAATGATGAAATAGATTATTATTATTATTCGAAATTGATCTATGATATTTGATCGTGTGTATATTTTATTTTTCAACAAAAAGGCATAATTAGTTTCCAATATTATAATGGAATTATAGAAATAATTTATATTAATTGGACCAAAGTCTAATAATAGTATAAGTTCCTTTTTCTCTTAATTATTATTGGTGCGACCACGTCACCATGACAAGAACCAATTCATCTCGTCGAAGCATAAAACCTCTTTTACCATAGCCCACAAGGTACTCTCACTCACTCACTGCTCGCACAATATTTTTCTGCTCTCAATTCACGTTTCTCTCTTCCAAAGGTAACATGTTTCTTTCTTATCTTTCGCTTCAATTTTCAATCACTATCGTCCCAATTATTCTTCTGCCAAAAAGGGTTTTGTTTTGAGTGTCGAACAATCACTAGTACTCGTTAATTTATCTTCAATTTCTTCGTCAATAAACCCCATTTCGAAAATTTAGGGTTTTTAATTGGGTTGTCTATATATCTAGGTTTATCATTTTCCCATTCTTGTGTTGGTTAAATTGGGAATTAGGGTTTTCATGTTATTTTTTTTGAAGATCGTATAAATCTAAACAATCCTTTTATGAATTTTAGGTTTTGAGTGTAATTTGTGAGTGTTTGTTTCATGGATTCAAATTTTATTCCGTGAGATTGGAAATTTCATATTCGGTATGTTTCAGGTTTTATCAAATTATACCTTTTTGGACCAATTTTTCTTGATAGAAATGTAGATTAGAACTTAGTAGTAGTTTTAGTGGTGATGGTGGTTGTTATTATTGTTGCTGCATTGACTTCTAGGATTGGTTGCTCATTGTTTTACATTAACTTTTTGCTTCGATAGATGGATTGGCAAGGGCAAAACCTAGCAGAGAAGCTAATGCAGATAATGTTGCTTGCATTTGCTGTGATTGCATTTGGAACAGGATACCTCACGGCTTCTTTCCAGTCGATGATCCTCATATACGCTGGTGGTGTGGTTCTAACCACATTGGTGACTGTTCCGAATTGGCCATTTTTCAACCGCCATCCTCTCAAGTGGTTGGATCCAAGTGAGGTAGAAAAGCACCCCAAGCCACAGCCATCTCCAATTGTGAATTCAAAGAAGAAACCCATTAAGAAGTAGGGTAAAGAAAGAACACATGTTAGTTCTAGTATTTCCTTGAGTTAAAATTCCATGCTCTGATAGAATCTTGCTTTCCCCTTTACTGGATAATATTACAAAATTTATAGTGTATTTTACTTTCTTGTACTGCAAAAATAGTAGCAATTTTCTTTTATTGGTATGGTTTTGTCTTTTCTCTTGCCTTTCTTCCTTTAATGTTGTATCTTTGATCTAAACCATGGTTTTGGTGTTACAACTTATAAAAAACTTTAGGTATGATTTTGTCTTTTCTCTTGCCTTTCTACCTTAAATTCTTTTATCTAAACCATGGTTTTGGTCATGATTGTTACGACACTTTTGATTAACTAAGGTATTATTTGTTTGAGTTGGAAAATAAAATAGTAAGAAGGAAAGGCTAAACTCCTAAAATAAAACACCTAGCATCAGAGGATTCTCCGAGCTTAATGCCTACTGAAGCTTTTTATTTCAATTTGCAAAATGAAAGCACCAACAAAATGAACATCTATCTTGATTCCACTGCAGCTTGATAAGCGGGACTGAGATCAAGACAATGGAAATTAACACTGAATGATAAGACTTAACCCGTAATTAGACTACCGATGACTAAGCTAACTCTGCGCAGACCTACTGATACGGCTCTCAAATATCAATACACTAATGCAACCACTGCCACGGAACCAGCACCTAACTTTTAGCATCAAATAGGCCTTGAATAGCAATCAGACCCAGCCAGCCACAAAGCATAACCACCGAAACAATATATGCTCAAAACTCGAGAGTTATAAGATCAGCTGCAAATATATCTCTGATATTGAATCACAGTTGCCGCTGCCGCGGGCAGCAAACCAGACCATTGGCGCGCCTGGCAGCTAGAAGAACCAACTGAGAGGCTATAATTCGCAGAAAGTAAACCTAGATAAACAGATCAAGAGAAATCTTAACCCTTTTGTTGCTCCTATCGCAAAACAACTCTGGAGTCTTGATTTCATGATTTTGGAGATCCTAGACAGGCTTTAGGATTCATGAACCACTAAGATATATTGACAACAGAGGCTGACTCACAATACAAAAACAACACCCAACCAACTCAAAACAGGTTGATACAAAAACAACACCCAACCAACCAACTCAAAACAGGTTGATACTAATACTTCCACCGGCAGCAATTAGCACAAACAACAGTGAAGAGAGAAAAATAAAATATTACCCTGCCATATCAATCCGGAGAAAAACAATTGAGCAAAGGCAATAAAATGGGACAACTCAGTGCCTTCTCCACTCCAACACGCAGACGCAAAAGAGCAAAATAACAAAAACTTTAATGCATGATTTGCAACCAACTAGATCTTATATTTCCTTCAAGCTCAAACAACCCAAATCGGAACCCAGCACTCTGAAATGCCACAAAGCAAAACACTATATCTTTTCAACACCAAACTTGGGGCAGTAGGATCATAAGATACAACAAAAAACCAGGGCCACCATATATATATATATATATATATATATATATCCTTCAAGCTCAAATAACCTGAACCAAAACCCCACACAGAGCACGGTGATTATAATACCGACGGTCGATAAAGAATTAAACCACTGCCCACTGAACGTGACAATTTTGAAAGCTCAATACAAAACTCAACAGCTTGGAGGAAATTGACCTCTAGAAACAAAGGCTGGTTGTTGGATATTGCCACCACATAGCTATGTTATATTTGATGATGCTAGACTTACTTTTCAGCCAATTCCAAGTAGTAATTTTTACATTCTCCAACATCTTATCTAGGCACACTTTCTTATTGCGAAATGCCTTACTATTTCTAGCCTTCCAGATATTTCATATGCAAGCGAACTAGATTATAATACCACCTGACTTCCAAATGTGCTAAATTTTCTTTTTGAATACCGCTTTTATCCCAATCCATTGACAAATGAGTACCAAATACCTGCAAAAGTTGAACATAAAAAAATGAGATATCCATTCGTCACAACCACACCCTCCCTCATATAACGGTGACCCTTGACCCAACACGCCTCTCTTGATTAGATTATATTTAGTGGCTAATCTGTTTTGAAACGAGACCTCCTTATGCCAAGCTTTTGACCAACTTGGGTGGGAAGAACTAATTAAATTTTTATACACCTCTTTAACCGAATAAACACTCTAGTTCATTGTTAACCAAACATTGTGTATGACAAAAATTGCGAGTACCTAAAAAGATTTTCATGTGTTATTATGCTTAGTATTTTCTCTTCTGTGAACAAACGGACCTGAAACATGGAGAATGGTGATCATTATGTTAGAGGTGTATTTCGGTATTTTTCTTACATAAAATTAATAAAAATTGCAAGCTTCTAATATATGGTGTATTTTTTAAATTGGCAAAATATATCTGTGAAATGTCGTGAGCCTAACCATAAAGCGAAACATAAAAGATATTTTTGTTGATGGTAACTTGCAATAATTTTTTAAAAATAAATCTAATATGTTTAGCACCCAAAGCCATAATAGTTCGAATTTCTGCTTTGTTATAAGCAAAAATTAGTTTCATTCTTTATTATAAACAAAAATATGTAATAAATCTGCAATGTGATTTTTTTTATAATACAAAATGGAGGGAGCACCAGAGCTATACACAAATTTGTAAGCATCTAAAACGGTTTTACTTGTTAGACCAAGAACTATCATATCATAGGATATCTTGTGTTTTTGCTACTTTTGACCAAGTGTATGATCAGTCAGCCTTTTAAAGCTCAGGCTGAAAATCTCACTTCAGTTCCTCAAGTCACATAATCTCTTTGGAACTAGCTGATCTAACCTAAAGCAATCGTATAGCAAAAAAACTGTTGCTTGAAATTTATTTATATGCAATCAGCAAGGATCGTCATAATCCAGAACAGTGTGTTTGTTAGTTAATGTCATTCACACAAACTCTATACAAGATTGAACCAAAGTGACAGAAGACTCTAATCGAACTAAGAGAAAAAGGGAACTCGGTTGACCCAAAGATACAAGCCGATATTTACAATCAGTATTATGGGGATTAATGGAAATTTAAGGATTTTCATTCCTTAAAGCATTTAAAAAGGGATCGTTCTCCTCGTCAAGCAAATTGTCTTCGTCTTCGTCATCATCATCATGCAGTTCATCTAAAATTGATTGGTTAGTCTTTTTTCGAGACTGTCTTCTATGCTTCTTAAGTTCCAGGCGAGGTTCTGCTTGCTGAGAACCCATATTTCCTATTTTTAACCTGAAAATAAATGTATTAATTACCAAATACTGTGCTTATATGGCAATTGATTTACTTAATAATCTCATGTAAGTAAGCTTGCTATGATTGTTTACTTCTTGTTAGAAACCTTATTACAATTTTAGCATGGTTTGACAAGCGATAAATTGTAGGGTATAACTTGCACTGCAAATTTACTCACATCCAAGTAAGAAATCTTTTGCTTTCCGAGTGTGAGCTATTATTTTTCAATTACAGAATATCCTAGCCATTTAAAAATCACTCATTCACCTACTTTAGTAGCTTCTTTTGGGTTGAAAAACATATAATATATATCAATGAAATTAATGTTTGCATCTATATATTAACATCTATAAAAGTAAGAATCAACTTTCAAGTTCTAACAAAGTATAGCATCGTCATGTCCATGATCATGAAAACAGCTCAGAATGCTCATTTTATGAACAATATAAATATAAATATATAACAAATCAAAGAATTGATTTTTTTATCAAAGCATCATGCTTTCCTATTAAAACAAAGAAGCATTGGTTTCCAATCACAGAGACAAATTGCTCAACATACCTTACATCACTTTCTCTTTTAGTTCCAAATGTTCTCAGCTGGAACTCCTCTCTGATTCTAATCTCATCAAGAAGTTGAAAATAGAATGAATATCTTTCCCAATCCCCCTTCACAACACAGCCAGGTTCACCAAGATGCAAGCAATTGTTAAACGAACATTTTGCAGGCTCATTTTCACCAAGCATTTTCCTGATCTGAACAGGGAGAAAAAACAACTCAAACCAGAAAAACTGGGTATACACTGGATATAGTTGGATATAAATTAAACATACTAACTTCAGGAAAAGTTTGAGCAAGAGATTGCTTTGTCACTTTCAATAAACTAGGCTGGTTAAACCCGGGAGTGTCAGCAAGATAACCCCCTCCAGTTAATGGAAGCAGAGAGACATGACGAGTAGTATGCTTCCCCCTGCCACTTCTTGTTGAAACCTCCGCAACTCGCTGTTCCTCTAACCACCTGCTACCTAAAACCTGAGAAGCAATGCAGGTACGCAGGTGAAACAAATACTAAAGTCATACAAGAAGTCAAAGACATAAAAAGTCAAGAGAAAGAAACACACAGGTTCAAACCAATTCTCCCCATCTGCAGTATCACAAGTACGATGGTTGCTTCTAAGAGCATTGATCAAACTAGACTTCCCAACTCCACTAGGACCCACAACCACTGTTGTTTGATCTCTCAATTGGAATGCAAGAAGATCAAGGTTTTGTCCAGATTTAACACTGCAAAAGACTGGCTGGTATCCCCAGTCATGAAACCTAGCCTTCCAGGAATCCAAGGTCTATGCAAGAGTGAAAGCAATTACTACACATCAGAAGATAATCACAGTTGGATTCCAAGTTACAAACATAAGAAATAAAAACTACAGTATTTTCATAAGTCAAACATAACGACCTAACATTGAGTGAAGCATTCTCGTAAAAGGTCAACACTCCTTCAAAATTCAAACTGATCTTTTCATAATAAAAGTGTAGTTGAAAACTTCACAGGAATTGATTGAGAATTAACTTGAACAAACTTTTCAACAAGTTCTTAAATTTAAAGAAAAATAAACTAAAATAATCCAATGATACTGAATATTCTAAATGATAATTTCACCTAAACTGAAATCAGCTTCTGTCCCTCATATTATTTAAGAAGCTCATTCATATAAGTTATCTAGTGCACCTACAAAGCCTAAAAACATTTTTTTTGTCAAAAAACTAAACACGTATTGCAATTGAATAAACTCCCGATTGGATTGATGTAATTGAACTTATCAACTTACATAAACAATTGCGAGACTGTTTGGGATGTCCATAAATAAGTTGTTTTCATCTTATTTTCATAAGTTCTCCACGATGGCTTCTTGAAGCAGCTTAGAGCTTAATAATAACAGTTTGGCATTACTTACCCTTTCTTATAAAGTAGCTTTTCCATAAGTACTTATATGATAAGTGTTTGATAAAGTTGTTCATCCAAAAAGCCTTAACTCTTGCTAGCTAAAAGCAAATCCAAACTTAGTCCAATCTAACCTAAAGCTTTTTAATCTAACAAGACTATACACTATACTAATTAAGAACAGTTAATCATAATCACAATGCCATTATAGCAACATAGCAAACCTCTTTATCCACAAGCTCAGTCTTGTTAAGAGCTAGAGTGAGAGGAACCCCAGTGGACTCAGCTTCAACCAAAAACCTTGTAAGCGTAAACGTCTCAAGCTTTGGTTGATCAAGCGAGAAGAGAACCAGTAAATGGTCCACGTTAGCCACGGGAGGGTCAAGCATTTCAGAATTTCGCTGAAACACGTTTTCAATCATTCCTCTCCGATCCACCCAATCAACAGAACCTACTATAACCTTATCCCCAACCATAACCCTACGCTTTATCTTCTTCAGCAGCGCCCTCACAACGCACAGCAGTTCTACCCCTCCGGAAGATTCATCGGGGACTGACTGGACAACTACGCGCATGAAATTGGCCTGGGAGGAAGCGACGACGCCGACGGCTTGGGATTCTGAGAGAGGAGGGTTGTCTTCGAGGGAGAGGTTGGGAGCGAGAGATGAGAAATTTTTCAATGCGTGTTTTGCTTTTAGGAGATTCTTGCTTGGGGCTTGGGGCTTACGGTTTTGTTGTCTGGCGGAAATTGGGATGAAACTAAAGCGCCGGAGGAGTTGAGGGGTGGCGGTGGCCACCAAGCGGTGGTGGAGGATGATGGAGAATGATGTGAGCGACATGTGAGAGAGAGAGAGAGAGAGAGAGAGAGAGAGAGAGAGAGAGAGAGAGAGAGAGAGAGAGAGAGAGAGAGTTGAACTGTGTATTGAAATTTCAAAGCTAATAGCGGTTGTTTTTTTCTTCTTCTTTCGTTCTGTTTATCAAAAAATTTGTTGAGTTCATTTCTAAGTGTAAGGGACTGAGTCAGAGAGGAGTGTTATTCGTGATTTGTTTTGTTTAACTTTAAACGACATCTTGAAAGATATCGTGTCTACATCTGGTTGGTACTGGAACTTGGTTTCGTCTTAAATTAAACGACGCTTAACCGGCTAAACGACATTGATATATGCCACTTTTGAGTTGTGACACCCTTGGTTAGGATATTGAGTGAATTTACTTGTGTTTAAAATCGAATAAATTTAATAGAAAATTGTAAATTAAATCAAATTAAAATTGTAAAAAATTGTATTTAGTTCGAATGTATTTGGATTATCTTTTAATAAAATTGCATTTCAATCTTATGCTTACAAACAACTTTTTCATCTTTACACTTATGATTTTAGTTTCAGTTTTTTCTCAAATTTCTTTGTATTATTGCATTTTCTTTGTCATATACATCATTGTCTCTTATTCTCTGATATCTACTCTATTATATTATTTCTTTTTCACTTTCTCATTTTTATGCAAATGTTTTCTCTTTAAATTTCGTTTTTATCGCACATATTCTTCTCCAATCTCTCATCTCTTATGTTTTTCTTTTTAATCTTCACTAATCTCTCCTCTTTACTATTTTTTTGTTTCATTATAATATTTTTTATATTGTTTTATGGTATTATTTTATGTTTATTATTCCACTTTTGTCTAATCTAATTTTTATATATTAAATGAGAAATTGTTGTCAAAATATGATGAATTTTGTTTTTATTTGGTAGTGTATGAAAGACTAAATACAAAATTATATTGTCATCTATATGTGTATGTATGACTCAATAAAATATTTGTAAAAAACCGAATCGAACCAAATTGCATTAGTTTGGTTTAGTTTAGTTCAGTTTTTTCTAAAAGCCAACCGAATCAAACCAAATCACACGTTTTTTTCCTCTTACGGTCCGAATGATTTTTAGTGTCAAAGTTGTCCAAATCGCACCGCAAACACCTGACTTAGTTAATGTAGAGGATTTGATGAGAAAAATAATAGTTAAGCCGAGAGATATAGAGTAATATAAGAGATAAAGAGAGTAGTATGAATTTTCCTCAATATAGTCGACGTTGAACATAAAATCAATTTTAAATGTTACAAATATATAACATAGTTGTTGGAGCACAAAGTTGAAGATGAAGATGAAATAGAAGAAGAGGGAAAAAATATATCTCAAACTAACTTTGCTCTAAATGAAAAACGATTACAACAAATTGAACAAGCTTTAGTTTATATACTATATCCCAAATGCAAATTACACTTAATGCAAAATGAAATGCTAACTAAATTGTGTTGAATTTGGATTACACTTGAACATCATTCCTTAATCCATATTCAAAACTAAAAATCAACAACACCAATTTCATCCCTTAAGTGGATAAAGTGTTTAGTCTTGATGATTGTGGTCAACACATCTACAAGTTGCTTCTGAGTGCTACAATGAACAACTTCTAACATTTCATTTTGAACTTGATTATGCAGAAAATGGAACTTCATATCTATATGCTTGCTCCTTATATGTAACACTTGATTCTTGGTAAGGCTTATAACTGATTTATTGTCACTCACCAACCTCACATGCTTGCTCACCTTGATCTTCTGATCCTGAAATAAATTCATAATCTAAACAACTTGACATGTAAATAAAACACCTGCAATGTACTCTGCTTCACAGGTTGACAAGGCAACCACATGTTACTTCTTAGAGCACCATAAAATGGTACTTCTCAAATATTTAAAGAAATATCCAAAAGTACTTCTTTTATCAACTTTATCTCTACACCAATCAGAGTCTGAAAAACATATCAGCTCTGAATCAGATTTAGCACCAGAAGGGAATAAAACTTCATACCTCAGAGTCTTCTTAATATACCTCAGTATCATGATAACAGTTTAGTAATGTGACCACTTTGGTTTGTCCATAAACTTGCTCATTATTCCAAATGCATAACAGATGCCAGATCTGGTGTTACAGAGATATCTCAATGAGCCGACCAACTATTCAAAAGTTGTAGAATCTACATCATCACCCTCAACATCCTCCAAATATCCCCATCATAGGATCGATTCCCTCTTGGAACTAGAGCACAACACCAACCCTACTCAATCCACACAATGGGATTGAGGCCAATACGAGACCAACACTCAAAACTGAGCGGACTAACGTCTAAAATATGCCATGAATGTATAATATGCAACATCGTAATAAAATACGATCACAACTAGTCAAACTGCATCATCACTCATGAAATCATCAATAATATTATTCACATAGCATGTATACACATCAAACATGTACATATCTCACTTCATTCATCATAACAACCTCAATGCATCATAGCATAACATAACATCATCATAGCAACAACAACTCATCATACAAACATACATCATTATAATTCTTTGAATAAAGTATAATTTCATCATGGTATACTGTGATCGGTGGGAATGAGAACTGACTGTTTTGGAATGCTGGTTCGCGTTTGCGTTTGTTTTTGCAAAATGTCGCAGTAAGCAAGAGTCGCCACCGTCTTTTATTTTATCCAACAAGGAAAGGACAAAAGCACAGAAAAATTCCTTTTCGAGATGTTTCTCGGGTTCGGGAGGTAGATTATAGAAAGGGAAGGTGTTAGCACCCTTTCTATCCGTGGTTATCCACGGGCTCTTAGGTACTTGCTCACTATGTTTTCAAAAGTTTTCTTTTCTTTGTGTTTGTGGATTTGAAAAGAGTTTTGTTTTTGAAGAGAGTGTAAGTGCGAAAAGTTTTGTTTTGTTTTTAAAAGGAGCAAGTACTTAAGAACATCTACCTACTCAAAAAGGAATTAGACTGTGCAAGTGTCCTTTAGACAATGCCATCCCACTATTGAGGAGTAGTGTGATACGGTGGGAGAACTGACTTGAGGTTTTGCGTTTGTATTCGCACTTGTTCGGTTTAGCAAGAGTCGCCACCGACTTTTTATTTTATCCTAAAGGAAAGGTTAAAAAGCACAGGAAAAACCTTTGAGATGTTTTCGTGGGTTCGGGGGGTAGATTATGAAAAGGGAAGGTGCTAGCACCCTTTTCATCTATGGTTATCCATGGGCTCTTAGTTACTTGTTTTAGATCACTTGCCTTGATTTTCAATTGTTTGAAATGGTGCTTTGTGTGTGTGGTTTTGAAAATGTTTTAAAAAAGATGCCTTGTCTAGGCAACCATTATAACAATTCTTTACTCGAATGTTTTACAAAGGTGTTTGTCTTTTAGAAAAGATGTTTCAATGTTTTTGAAAGTTGTGTTGTGGAGTGTGTTTTGAAAGTAGGCAAGTGTTTTTGCAAGTTTGATCAAGTAACTAAGAGTTGTCTACCCTATTGTACTCAAAGATCTTTCTCATGTTTTAACCCTTTTAACAGTGTTGTTTCACCATTGTATTCGGTGAACAACCTTGCGTTAGGATGTTAACGGGACGGGCGCGGGTCATCGTTTAGACCATGAATGCAATAGTGCCAAGTGTCTTTGGCAATTTGCTTGAGGGACTATGATCATTTTGTTTAGGCAACTTCGAAAGCGTCATCGAGGGACTATGATCATTTGATTTGTTCTTGTTTTGCCAAAGACACTCAACATGCAAGCATGGCCCATTTTTGAAGGCAACAAGCGGGATTACCCTAGGGGTGCAAGTGTGAATGGTGTATTGATTTTCATGCATTTGTCTTGTATTAGGTTATCTAGCGGTTGATTTTGAATCTTCGCATACAAACCCTAATTACTATACAGTATATAGAAAGCGATAAATTGCGGGAATTTAAAGTCTAAGATATTACAAATAAGTATCCGAGAATGGGGGTACAAATATTTACAAATGGGGATGAGTCTTATCAGGATAGTAGTGTCCAAATAATATTTACAACCAAATCGGATAGCATTCTCAATGTAAAATATAGCAATGTATAAGAATAAAAGAGAATCAAAAGTATTAGTGAAAGTGTATGTGATTATTTACAAATGAGTAAAAGTGTTAACCTAATGTATTAAGTCTCTCAGTTCGAGCTTTGTCCTTTCAGGTGGAGAAACCCTTAACGGAAGATTTTCATCTCGCCATCTGGCATGAATTCCAGATTAAAAAAAAACAAGGGTTAGAGGTCGTGAGAGGCATAGAACAAAACTCAAAAATCTTGACAAAAATTGAGGTTCAGTTTGCAGGTTAGGGGACGATTCAAAGCAATTTAAGGCCAACAATCCATTCCAGGAGATCCCAGGAAGCTATTCCACCTATCCTCAGGCTTCAAAATGCCAAGAATCGTGCCCACCATCAACCACGGTTTGCCCAAAAACTCGATTCTGATTTCCTTGATTTTGACAGCATTATCATGTTTTGATTTTACATTCTTGTTCATTATCTTGTTTGCAAGCTATTGGCATCATTTAATTGCATTTACAGTGCAGGAATCACAATATGCCATTGTTAGGGTTTACAAGCTCGTTTTAGGGGTTTTCAATGCAGGAACAATTGGGCCTTGAATCAGGTACCATGATGCTCGTGAGGATGAGACAAGTTGATTGGTACCATTACCTTTCATTTATATTGCCTATACATGATTTTTGAATGCTACAGGTTTATAGTTACAGCAAAACTGCTATAGGTAAAAGTCCCTTCGTCTAAAACGACGGAGAAGGGAAGAAGAAGATGTGTGTCAAGCAACCATTGGAGCGTTTGATTTCTGACCCCACTATCTTGTTTTGCATATTATATTTTGTTTTTATTATAATAACAATTGACAAGTCCAGCGCAGATGGTAAAAAAGCTTGTCTTTGATGTACACGTCCTGGGTTCGATCCCAAGCGTGT